TATCATCATCTACTTAAAAGCTACTTTAAGCTGTTTTAATAATATCATCATCTTCATCATCAGTTGTTCACAAAGCTACTTTAAGCTGTTTTAATAATATCATCATCATCATCATCATCTGTTGTTAACAAAGCTACTTTAAGCGGTTTTAATAATATCACCATCTACTTAAAAGCTACTTTAAGCGGTTTTAATAATATCATCATCTTCCTCATATGTTGTAAACAAAGCTACTTTAAGCGGTTTTAATAATATCATCATCTTCATCATATGTTGTAAACAAAGCTACTTTAAGCTGTTTTAATATTATCATCATCTTCATCATCAGTTGTTAACAAAGCTACTTTAAGCGGTTTTAATAATATCATCATCTTCATCATCTGTTGTTAACAAAGCTACTTTAAGCGGTTTTAATAATATCATCATCATCATCATCATCATCTGTTGTTAACAAAGCTACTTTAAGCGGTTTTAATAATATCATCATCTTCCTCATATGTTGTAAACAAAGCTACTTTAAGCTGTTTTAATATTATCATCATCTACTTAAAAGCTACTTTAAGCTGTTTTAATAATATCATCATCTTCATCATCAGTTGTTCACAAAGCTACTTTAAGCTGTTTTAATAATATCATCATCATCTTCATCATCAGTTGTTAACAAAGCTACTTTAAGCGGTTTTAATAATATCATCATCATCATCATATGTTGTAAACAAAGCTACTTTAAGCGGTTTTAATATTATCATCATCTACTTAAAAGCTACTTTAAGCGGTTTTAAATATACAAGCTGAAGTTAAAAGCTAGCAAAAAAAAAACATGTTATAATGTTCTGTATGGGTTAACAAAAAAAAAAAAGAGAGAGAGAACCTTACAATACTGAGGTCACAAAATAATTGTAATTCTGCTAGAACATTAGACTAAATCTGATTAGATAAAAATAGATTTATATTACATAAACATTTAGCTATAATAATCATAACAACCTCTTAAAACCCAAATAAAGCATTTTATTTTTTAAATGTATTTGTCGGGCTGCTGAGCAGAAAACATTCGCACTATTGTCGGAGGATCGCGAGTTCGAATCCCGACGATGCCACAGCCTTCCGGAGACAGGAGTCAAGACAGTAAAACTGGGTGCGCTTTCTGGGTGGGAGGGGCATACGCTCTCTTCCCTGTCAATCACAGCGACACTAGCCAATTGTGAGAGTCTGTGAGCTCTTGTATGCGGAAGAGGGCAGATAGCGCTTTCCTCAGGAGGGCTTTTCACACGGCGCTTCACCTCGGGTTATCGTCGTTCTAAACCCCGCTTTTAACCCCGGATAGAGGGAACGTTTCACACTTGTAATTTAGAAGCGTGGCTTAGCAGCGCATTTTACCCGGGGTTATAAAAACCCTGCTCCAATCAGGATTAGCACCGCTTTCGCAGTGTTAACCC